TGTTCTGAGCAAGCATACAAACAAAGAGACATAATTCTGCATGCCACATGAATCCTCTGTTTATATTTCTGTACATATCATCTGGGAAGAATTTCAGGCTAGCCCTAGACAGCTGCTAAGGGAAAGAGAGAAGGAAGGGGAAAATGTGATCCCGTTGATTATCTCCCTCCTTTCTACACCAACACACCACCATTTTTAAAATATGCAAAATACTGAGGGTAAAAATGCCATTAGTATCTCTGTAAATATTACAGATTAGAAAACTGATCTGGTTGTCTATAGAGGTTGTGTGCATTCAGAAAAATAATTCTTCCTAGGATTCCATGGTGGCTAATCTTTGAAATATTCACTCGAGAAGTTCCATGACAATTTTTTCCAGCATCACTACTGGGACTCCAGCTGCATCTACACTGTATAAATAATGCAGTTTGGCACCATTTTAAGTGCTGTAACTCCATCCTATGGAATCCTGGAATTTGTAATTTTATAGAGTTTGTAGTCTTTTCTGCCAAAGAGTGCTGGGGTCTTACAAAACTACAAATCCCAGGATTCTGTAGGATGGAGCTGTGGCAGTTGGAGTCAAACTGCATTATTTCCACAGTGTAGAACAGGGGTAGGCAACCTTTCCCCTTTAAGGGCCGAGGGACTTCAGCTCCCAGAATCCCAGGAGCTATTGGTCAACATGGGACTATTGGTCAACATGGCTGAGGCTTCTGGGAGCTGAAATCCTTCGGCCCTTAAAGGGGAAAGGTTGCCTACCCCTGGTGTAGATCAACCACAGTCATTTCCCAAAGAGCCAGCTCTGAGTGCTTCAATCCCCCCTCACCTTTCCCCATTGTCTTGCTCCACTCAGAAGGGTAAATAGGAGAAGCAAGGAAACTTCCATGGCTCACTTTTCTCTCACCTTTCTGAGTTGGGGAAGCGGAGGGAGAAATGGAAATAGTCAGCCCTTTACTCTGACACTGGACCAATGCATGCCAGCTGTTTGGAGCAGCAGAGAGCTGCCCCAGGAAGCAGCGGATTGCGACCACAGCAACCCCACACTGTGGCCCCGATCCTTCCTTTTGCCACCCAAAAAGAGCGGCAAAATGCTGCTCCTTTTAGGGGCAGCAAAAGGCTGCCCTAAGCATAAGGGCGCGCAGTGTCAGGACGGCGTCGGGGTGGGATTGGGGCGGCCGGCAGCAGGCTGCCCCACACCAACTCTGCCCCCAGGCCGGCCTTTTAGGCCGGTCTGCATTGGCCCACTGACACACTCACAGAGAATTCTTGGTTTTACCCCATCTTTTTTCAAAGGAGTGTGAGGTGACTAGGCAATCTCCATAGCTCAATTAAGCTCACAGGCTAGGGCTTTTTGCCCCATAGTCTAAGTCTGAGTGATGCACTACCTCTTTTAAGTACCATTTGAGAATTAAAGCACTATGAAGTCTGTCAAAAAGCCAGGACAGTGGCAGTCTGGGGGCCACTATCTGCCCCTAGGACCTTCAAAAAACCACAAATTGACAAAATTGAAAAGCAAAACAGAAACTGAAGGGGTCAAAAGTCCATTTCTGATTTTAAGAAAAACTATTTTCTGACACTAAACACAGTGGGGGGAAACTACAATCTATTTAAAATATGAGCTGCCAGTCCTGAAGGCTTCTAGAAGAAAAAAATCCATACTTTAAGAGCAGAACATGGGTGAATCTTGAGGTGCTGAAGCCTGCAAAAACAGACTTTGCATATTGTATGCGGCCCAGGGCTGCCCTTTGGCCACTTGAACAGAATGATTATTGGGGGCAACTTTATTCTTATAGATGAGCATACTGTATAGAAATCAAATTGAACTTGCAGAGACATGCTTTAGAGTTCTTTCTACAAGGCACATTTTCAGATCACATAAAATTCCTCAACACAAATGGTGCTTTCCTCCCAAAAGGGCAGAATATCATTGCTGCTGCCAGGAGACGTACTCCATTAAGGACAAGGGATGGGAGGAACCAAAGGCACAAGAAAGTACTCTTCTTCATCACCCATCCTCTGAGCTACCCTTCTTGGACTCCCTCTGTTCACCTGAGCCGGTCTTGTAAATATCTTCTATGTCCACCTCTGTCTCATCTTCTGGCACAGGCTCTAAGATCTTTTCCCGAGCAATCTTTTTCCTCCTCTCTATTTCTTCTTTGCTCTCTCGATCAAAGTGCAGCCGGTATCTGACAGGTAGAGCAAAACAAGGGAGATCAGGTAGGAAATATAAATTAGAACTATATTAGGCTGAAACATGTAGTCCAGCCCTCCCACCTTAGTCCCAGAACTAGACACACCTTGCTTAGTTCCAGAACTATAACAGATTGGAGAATTACTGTGAACCACACAGACACCTAGATGGAGCCAGCATAGCACAGTGGCTGAAGTGTTGGACTATGACTCTGAAGACCAGGGTTTGATTCCCAGCTGAGGCATGAAACCCACTGGATGACCTTGGACAAGTCACATGCTCTCAGCCTCAGGGGAAGGCAATGGCAAACCTCCTCTAAGCAAATCTTGCCAAGAAGACCCAATAACAGGGTTGCCTTAGGGTTGCCATAAGTGGAAATGACTTGAAGGCACATAACAATAACGATAACAACAACTGTTGCTCTTCAGATGTATTGGACAATAGCACTCACCACTGATAGCCAGGATGACCAATTACTGGATGCCAGAAATATAATCAAATACATTTGGAAAGTACCGGGGGTGGGGAGGTATTTTAAATGAATGCATGAATCTGTCTGATACAGTCTGGTATTAGAGTGTCACTATGATTGTGCCACAGTGTTTACTCAGAAACAAGAAGAAACAAGGATTAGTTCCTGATCTTTCAAGTCCTTTATATTGCATGGGAAATTTGTTGTTTTTAAAACATATAAAGAGAAAATGTGTGGGCTGATAACATTCAAGGCTTCAGCATGTAATTGAACATTATTTTTAATGAATAGTAATTTAACTAGATTGACAACTGCAGAAAGCTCCATATCACAGATTGTTAGATGGAAATCTAAAACAAATCCAGCTTGCACACTCTCACACCATATTACAATGAGTTGTGCAGGACTTCTGGATACATTAAGGTAACCCAGCACCCTACACGAGTCCTGCCCATCTGATCTACTTTAAAAAAAAAAAAAAGATAAACAAGTCAGAATTCACAAGCCAGTAACAAACTAGCTTGCAATCATTGCTTAGTTGGGAACGGGAAACTAGGATCCCAGATTTGAACATGAATTGTAACTACTGCTTCCTTGTTTATTTACCTACTTGAATGAGTAAGAAAACTGAATAGCATGCAGCTCATTCCTGACAAATCAGATTAGTCAAGAATCTTAATTTATAATTATGCATTCTCGGGCACATGGTTTACCATTATGTGCTCCTCTTCAATTATTTATCTATGGCATTTGACTAATGCCTCTCAATGCACAATAGTCTGGAGGCAATGTACTACAGGTGAAAACAGTTAAAACATTAAATACATGAATAAAAATAGCTCTTTAAAAAATAGCTTTAAAACCTGTAAAAATATAGAGGATAACAGGTTGACTTTACATGGTAAATTTTATCAGTTAAATTTTGAATTCCACACAAAATAAGATCCAGGTTAGAAATTTCTGTCTTATATTTTGTTTTTCCAATTGACATTTACTGCCCATCACAGCAGCACTAAACTCCTCAGTTTTTCTGCAGATTTCAACAGACATCATTTATTTCTGTCCTCCTTGGAATGGGGAAAAAGTGGTTTATAAGGAAAACTCAAGAAATCTCCTATAAAGACAATGAGATGTGTTAACTGAACCTTTTGCTAATCCGTATGGCGAGTGAGGGGAAAACAGCACAGGATGAAGCACTGCATGACATCACAGCAACTAAACCAATGGCTGAGATGGGGCAGAGGCTCATGAAACACAGGCAGGATCAACAGCTATTTTTGGCCTCCCTGATGGCATCACCTCTGGTTGTATGTATCTTCTATGATCTATACACCCTGGAAAAAAACTGCAGGGTCTCTCTGACAAGAGTCAGTGAACACATAAATCTTCACCAGACATCCTAGCAATGTGACAGGTCTCTACTTGATAGGCAGGATTTTTCCCCAGAGGAACTTTGCTGCTGAAGTTGTCAAACTAGTTCAGAATGGCACAAGAAGCACTGAACCTGAGACATGCCCGATCCCGATAGGATGCTTCGTCAGTAGGTCAATGGAACAAAGATCAGATGGACTAGATTCCAATTTCCCAAATCCTTTGCTGCTGTTGTCAACAAGAACAAGCCTGTCTTGGTTTGGAGAGTATCATTAAGTTTGATCAGGCAGCAGTGCTGTTCCATTCTCTGTAAGGGGAATAGAATCTAGTGGCTAGAATAGTTGAAGCCCATACTCTTGGATTTTATCCCTATGAGACACCAGAGCAAAAGGTGAAAGGTCTACTGGTCTGACTGGAAAACTGTTGGAAAACTCATGGGTTTGATTCTCACCTCCAAGAAGAAAACTTGTATTTACATGGACAAAATATGATGGTATGTAGAGAGATCTTGTAGTACTTTTGAGACGAACTGAAAGAAAGAAGTTGGCAACATGAGCTTTCGTAGACTTAAAGTCTACTTCCTCAGATGCATTTGGTGGAGTAGAAAGGCTTCCAATCCATCAAATGCATCTGAGGAAGTAGATTGAAGTCTACGAAAGTTCATGCTGCTGATTTCTTTCTTTCAGTTAGCCTCAAATGTGCTACTCGATCTCTACATATTTTCCAGAGACTAAACGGCTGTATCTTAAAATCTGATGGTATTACATACTTTTACCAGAGGGCAGAACTTATTTCTTTACTATTCTAACAAGCTTTACCTATAAAGACATTAGCTCCACAGAAGGAAAATGATGTGAAGATATTGATAGCTCTTTTCTTGATGGGGGACACAAGGACAATAGGAAGAAACTGTAGCACCTCTTAATGTAGTAATTATTCACAGGGCAGAATACAAATTTTCACATGTTCCTCATTTCAGGTTCTCTCTTGGTGAGAAAAGCATAAGAACTTCTGTAACTGTGTGTATGACATTATTTTTCTAATTTTGCTAGATGTATATAGAGGCCAGAGTAAGCATCATATTGAATGAAGGCCTCTAGCTCTAGCCAAAAATTTTTTTTAAAAAAGCTTGGTAATCAGCTGCAGAAAATTCCAGGCAGAAGAAAAATGGGTGACTCACTCTGCATCACTGTCTCAGAAATGGAAATTATCACACCAAAGCCATTGAGGCTCATCACTCTGGCCACAGTGAGTCAGCCCCTGCCTAGAACCCTTTTTCATTTGCCACAGAGAGAAAGAAAGGGAAAGAGAGAGATAACGAAGGAGTTAATGAGTTACCAAATAAGAAAATAAATGCAAAGTCAGATGATTATTAAACCAATGGCAGCTGGTGCCTTTCATGTCAATGGACTAATTAATCTGTCCAAGGATCTAGTCTGAACTTTAAAGGAACTATCCAAGGTGCATAGCCTCATCAAAATATGATCAGCACCCTGCATATCTTCTTTGAAGTTCAGACTAAGGCCTGTACAGTGGTACCTTGACATACGAGTTTAATTCGTTCCATAACCTTGCTCATATGTCAAATTGCTCGTATCTCAAAGCAATTTTCCCCGCTGAAATTAATTGAAATGCCATTAATCCGTTCCAGCTCCCAAAACACCACCTCAGTTGTTTTTGTTCAGTGTTTTTGAATAAGAAAAATGTACAGTATTTACAAGAAGAAACATTTATTTATAAATAACAAATACATATTCTATAAATATGGACTGGCTTTAAACGAGTCTTCTGATTCCTTGTTTGTGAATCAGAAGACAAACAAGGAATCAGCACAGCAGGAGAGGACTGTTCCATCTGGCCCTGCAGGGGCCCAAAAGCCTCCCGGGACCGGCGTCTGGTGGCGTGGACGCGGCGGAGGTGGGCGGGACCAACTGGGCCCTTAAAACGGCCCCCATTGAGCCTTACCTCCCGGCGGCAGCGCAGTGGGAGAGGACTGTCTCCATCGGTCCTACAGGGGCCTAAAAGCCCTCCAAAACCTGGCATTTGGCCACTGAATTAA